CGTGTTTTATCACCTAATTTGTCAACCACTCAACAATGTACCTATGAGGGTTCACTTGATCTGGTAAAAGTTAAATAGTCCAACCCCCCGATAAACGTGTGTGTGTGATTATGGACAAGCCTCGAGGGCTATCTGCCTAAGGGAAAGGATGCCTTCGTTGAGGACTTTCTAAGGAAAACTGGCTCCTATACATGTTACACATGGGGAAACCCACGAAAACACCCATGCAGCCAGCCCGTTCGCGAGATTCGAACCTCGGACCGAACCCCCCGATAGACTTGAAGTAAATTATCACTATGTCTGAAAGTAACTACAAAGGTTTAAATAAGCCTCTTATTTAAAAAGAACTTATAGGCATGTTCTTATGTTAATCAAATCAATTGCAACTTGTGGTGATGTTATTAAACAAGTCAAATTCAAACAAAAAAATGTGGACCAGTGGTCAAAGACTATAAAATTTAATTTTAATTTAAGATGGCTTGTCATAACAAATTCAAATGTCAGCAGCCATAATGCAGACAAAAAATTACAAATTATCAGGAACTAATACAGCGAGCAAGCGGAGATTAAAAATACATTCTGCCTTACACACCAAAAATCTCAGTTTAAAAGCTGTCTAAGTGATTTGCATTCTGGGGAGGAAATAGTAATGTGAAATTATAAACAAGCGGATAATTTACATAATAACAACTGCACACATCTTTGAAAAATAATTTTCATTCTCTTTACGCATTCAGTTTCCTTCTTCCACGTTTCCTTTTCATTTTAGAATTTTTGGATTTAAAGATTTTTGTTATTCTAAAAAAAAAAACTAAATGCATTTAGAATGCATAGAAAAAGCTGCTAATTTTATTTCTTTAGTAATACAAACATTCAGAAGAAATATGAAATATATATGGTAAGGGCCAGTTACAGAGCTGCTGTGGCAGAATTTTTAGAATTTAGTGTCACACCGAGCAACAAAATCTAGAAATGGCAAAACTTTTATAATTTAGAGCAGGCACTGGAAGCAGAATTTTGAAAGGCACTAGTCAGCAAACTTTTGGATCTACAGAGATAAGTTTAATGTTCCCCCTGATTGCACCAGGTGGGACAATGCCTAGCATGAGACCTGTGTATGATGCATTAAGACCTAATAGATTAATCTTTTAAATTGCCAGTTTCCAATTTCCTTATTAATCAAAAAATTCCTTTCTATAATGCTCATCCATGTGATACGATTAGAAGCATTTTTAATATTTTCCATGCTTGTGTCTAATGAAAAGTAGAGAAAATAAAGGGAAGATGAACACATTAGGAAAAAGATTCTAGTATCAGAAGTAAAACATTCGAATATTATGTTTCCATTGTTCTTCCAGATGTTCTTGAAAAAGTAAGAACTTTATTGCAAACTTTCTGTAAAATATATCCATTACATTTTAATACCATAGAGACATCTTTCATTTTGTCACATATTTCTAGAATCGTGGGTCTATAAATCTCGCTTTCAAATCCTTCTAAACTTTCCAACTTGCATCCTTCTTCAAGTTGTAATGTCTAATGTCACGAAGCAAAATTACCTCTACCAATTTTGTAACAACAAACAGCCAGAAATATTTTGAAAAAAAAAAAAAAAAAAAAAAAAAAAAAACAGGAAAAATGTGTAAAATTAATTTTATAGAGAAAACTGATGCATATTCTGAGAATTCTTAATATTCTGAGACAATAACATGAGAAAACTCTTATCATGGAAAAATTAAAAAGAAGATATTTTTAATTACTTTCATAGCTATTTTGCTTTTGCTAAGAACTATTTCGTAAATTGTGCTTTGTAGCATTATACCTTGTTTATTTTTCAAATCCAAAACATTGTATAATAAATGCCAAAATAGAACTTTATAATATGACAGCAAAAAATAAAAATGTTACATTTCAATGTTGTTTTTTAAATATAATTTCAACATATTACCATTATTTTAATGAAATTTATCAATGGTACAATGTTTAAAAAAATCGTAGAAAAATTTCCAGATCTTGGAATTAAAAATTTACTATAGAAACTGATCTTAAAAATAGCCAAAATGTTGATTAGTCACCAAATTTAGAGCCGTTCAATAAAAGAATTCGCATCTCCAAAAGCGAAAAGTTGTTTTAAGATCTCTTCATTAGAAAAAGTGAAACAATTTCGCAATGCTTATGTTTCACTTCTTGCTCAAAAACTAGAGTATCCCACATTTACATTAAAAATAGGAACAAATTATAAACCATTGAAAAGATAACCATATTTATCAGTGAATCGCCAAAAATATACCTCCAAAATGCTAATTCAAACTCAAAATGGCAGTCATAGAAACAGACAGAAATTTCACATAATTAAAATTAAGGACTTTCTGCCGATTTTGGCTGAAATTAAGGACTTTTAAGGACCAAAAATCCCTTCCGAAACACTTAAGGACTTGTAAGGACTCTTAAGGACTGTATGAACCCTGTTTTAGCACAGGCTTCTTACACAACGCGACCTTTACACAAACAACCAACATTCAAAGGTGATTTTTAAATACGAAATCCACAGTATGCAGTCTTCTCATTTATACACAATGCACACAAGTGTGCAAAACATACAGAAGATTTCTGATTTTAGCTGTAATTCCGCAGAAAATTATCTGGATGTCAAAATTCAGATTACAGAGGCACAATGTAATACTTAAAGGACAAGGAAAGCATAGAAGGAAACAAATGAATAGGACACATACAGTATGAAGCAAACAAGGCTTTACTGACAGACCAGCATTAGTACAAAGAACTGTCTGGCCAAGAGGGAGAACAAACCAAGGAGCCGTAGTAAGGGGTATGGCCTTCCATATGATAATGGTTGCACTGCACTATCTGCTGATACTTAACATCAGATTATTTAATAGCTTTTGGGAATGAATTCCCATTCTTTAAGAAGCATCTATTTCAGTTATCTGCCATTCTCTGGAGGCATCTCCCTAAAGTATGCCACATGTGCAATGATATTTAAATCAAGGAAACGTGCTGGCCAATCCACAAACGTGTGGGCCAATCCATTCTGTGGATATTTTCACTGTCCAGGCACTCGTCAACAGCATGAGTCTTGCATGGCTGTGCAGTGTCATCCATTAAAAAAGGTCAGGACCAATGGCACTCTGGAAAAGACACTAGTGGAGGAAGAAAAACTTCATCACAGTAGCTATCCGTTAATTGAACCTCTGTCGAAAATGTAAGGCTCCGTGTGTCCATTCAACATACAATACCAGAACCATCCCAACAGTTTCATTCCCTGTTGTCAGTGGGATGAAAGTGTGCACTTATATCTCTCTCCATATCAACTAGCATCAAGAATGGTTTGCTAGACTGAAAGGACTCTCAATCAGCAAAGAGGATGTAAATCTATTCATGAGGTGTCCAGTCTTTGTTTTCTAGACTTACATAAACAGTGTCGCTGATGGGCAGCTGTCAAAGGTATGTATCATTCAGAATGTTGGGTAATAAGCAATCTTTAAGAAATCTGGCTACATTAAACTGGGAGACCAGTCATCTGGTTGGCATAGGCAAATGCTGACCAATGTTGTCTGCTAATGGTTTCAATCTCTTTTTGCCTGCAGAGTGATGTGTTGGTCATCAGTAAAAAATTTTTCCTTTGGCCAACCATCATCAGCCCTTTTCACAGCTGTACCTATCATTTACAAGGCTTCCTTGAGCTCGTGAAACAACAGTTATCAGTTGCAAATTGTTGGGCAATAGCTGTTAAACTACACCCCTCCTCAAGTTTGCCAATCATTCTACCATGTGTAAAACCGTCTTGATTCTTTCTTGTAGCCATACTGCACACCTTCTTTCATCATTTTAAGTTGCCTTGCACTGTACACACTAATTCCACGTGTTTTGCATGGCCTGATACACATGCATCACCTTTCTAACGAGTTGGCTTTTCATCGAATTGAATGTATGAAGCCTTTTTCAACAATTTCATGGTTGTATGTTGAAAAATGAATTTGTTGTTTAAGTTTTGCTCACTAGTATAGACGGCATTAGTCACACTTGCATTGTGTGCATGCACTGGCATACTAATCATCTGCATATCCCAGCACAGAGTATTTGATGATTATTGCACGCCACCTTCATGGTGTAGCAATTTTAATGGGCAGCAATGTAATATCTCTTAAATTTCTCCCAATAAAATGTTTAAAATTATTTACATCACTAGGGAAAGGGGGGAAAAAGATAGTGATATAAATAAGATATGCATAAACAAAATAATAATAACAATATTTAATTCCTAATTAAATAAATCTGTACTCAAAAGCAAAGTTAACCTGAAAATATCTCGAAAGCAAAAGTAACTTAACACATTTCTTAGCACCAAGTGTTATGTCAGAAACCAGTGTATCAAGCTTACATATGTATATTACTGAATATAATTCAACAATGTGAATTCAACTAACATGGCCTTGCAAAGCCTATCTTAATTTAATCTTTACAGTAACTTCTTTTTTTGGGGGAAAGGGGCAGCAATTTACACTGTGCTTCAATTTTTGAAAGACTGTCTATAGAATATTTTGTGTGCATAAAATAATTCCAAAGATTAAGACTCAAGTATTAAGATGTACTGCCAGAGGATTATAACTTTAGGAAAGATTTCCACGTATTTTTGACCGATTGTCAAAATACACAAGCTACAAAATTAAATACAAAAGTAAAATTAATTGTGATTTATGGATTTTGTTTCAATGTCAAAATACAAAAGTAGTAAAAAAAAAAAAAAAACTATGCAACTGAAAAGAACTTTAAAGATACCTTTACTCATTGCTTTAATTTATTAACAGTTTTTTAAAACAATTTTGAGTAAATGAAATTTTTTTGTTAAATTAACTTTGCATGGTACATTACTTACAGATATACACCGCTTGTACGTTTCCCTGAGCATTCAAGTTAATTTTGCCCTAAATATATTAAAAGTTACTTGAGAATACATTACCACAATCCAAAAAAATACTTACACTTTTCTGAATTATCTGTTTTACTCTCCTATAAGAGGGAAAAATATTCAAATTAACTTATATAGATAAAATTCATGACATTCATCAATACATCATACTATTTGCCAAGGAAAATTGTACATATAAAATATGTTAACACATATCCATTCAATATTATTATCAGAGATTTAAGTGAAATAGATTCTGGTACGACCTATACTTAAAAACTTGGTAATTTCAGATAAAACATACTTTCCACAAAGTGAAGAAGTTTTTATGTTTGCAAAAGCAGACCAGCATTCACTGTTTTCTCTTTTAGTACAAAACAATAAAATTTGCATGACATGCACCATATCATATCTACTAATGCCTGCATAACTAAAAGATATAAAGTATATTGTGGGTAAACAATGTTAAATTTATGCACTAAAATCTAAAATATACAAAGTATTTGTGGATACAGTATTTCCACAAAGATTTGTAAATTTGCATTAGTAAGTTAGCACTAAATTTGCATATTAATAAAATTAATCAGCTTACTTCAGCATTTCCAATAGATTTTGATTTGCTTGATGAGCTTGATTTTGTTCTCTTAGTCCTAATCATAAACATGGGATTATAATCAAGAAGACTAATTTTTTCCTTGCACTGTCTCTTCAGCGATGACCTACGAGAACTGGATTCCGAGATTTGCTCTGACACTGAATTTTTATCACTGATATGAGAAATTTCATTAGCAGTAGAAGCTATAGCTTTATCATTAGAATTTTTGTCACACTGATTATTTTTATACAATTCTTCCATTGCTTCTCTACACAGAGTAGAATCTGGATCTGATGCCTCCATTTCAGAGCACTTTGGAAATGATTTTACATGAGGTAATGTGCTATTTACTTCTTTCTTAACAGGACCACTCCGATCACTTGCAGGAAAATCACCTTTATGGACATATTCGCCAAGCATGCTCTTGATTCGACGGGCCATTTCATCATCGGTTTCAGGATGAACCTTTTAAAAAATATTTCAGAAATCTCAATACCAGGTTTCATCAATTATATATTATATATTCTAGATGCCACCTTGAAACATGAAAGAAAAATGGTAGGTTCAACCAACAAAACCCAAAAGTTTCCGAGAGGTTTTTGTCTTATTTGGTGGCACCATTATAAAAGAACTGAAAATTAATTTAAATTCACTTCATAACACATGATTCAGTTAATTCAACTATTTATAATAATTCTGACACAAAATATATTAATATTTAATTACATACTCTAAATTTAATGTTCATTGGATAATTTCACTTCCCAATTGTCTTACACTTTTATATTGAGAAAATTCTGAGTACAGAAAGAAGCTTTAATTTAGAAAAGTACTTTTAAATACAGTAAAAATAAAATTACCAATTAATGTACATTTGTAAGATACATTCATTTGTAAGATACACTCCTCTCCTTACCATCAGGTAATTTCGTGGCAAGGAAGGAGAGAAATGGTGTAATCAGAAGTACATTTTGTGGTGTAATAGGAAGCACATCTGATTAACAATCAGGATGTCTGGACTTTGAATCCCAGAGAAGATACTGTACATTTCTCTGTCTCCTGGCCCCTTTTTTTAAAAAAAAGCTGTACAGTGAAGGACAATAGTTTGCTAATTAGGATTTGGGAAGCAAGCCCGAAGCCCCCGTGCATTCATGGTGCAATTGGAAGCATATCCTGCTACAAAATGGAAGGTCCGGAGCTCAAATCCCAAAGGAACTGCAAACTTTTTGTTTCCTATTCCAAAATGAACCTAATGACTCTACATATTGATTAAACAGAAAATTGAATACAAATATTTGCTGATTAAACATTGATTAAATCTACTCGTAAACTATTATGAATGTCTACAGTAAATTAAAACAACTCGGATTAAACAAAATTTAATAAGAAATATTATGCTGAAGATCACTAGGGATGGGGAGCGAAACTTTCACAATTTGTGCTTCATTACTCAATAATGAAACTTAAACTGGGAATATTTTATCTGAACAATTCAATTTTATTGCTGAAAAATACTTAGTAAATGTTAAAATTAGAAACCAGGAGCTCTGGCAATCTAGCAGGATATGTTTAAAAAATACAGGACAGTTGGCTATTATGATACATCAATATGCAAAACTATAAACACTTTTTTAGAACACAAAACTTAAAATGGTAAGCACATTAAAAACATTTTTAGAACACAAAACTTAAAATGGTAAGCACATTAAAAACATTTTTAAATCTACCGTATTAACATGAAAATGTTTTTGTTTCCAAAGAACATAAGTCTCCATAATTTTTGTCATAATAAAAATAAATCCTTATTTGCATCCATACACACTAATGACAAATGCCTCATAAAATTTCCACAAGCACTTTCAAGCAAAAAAGGAAAAAAAGGGGGAGAATCTTTCACTGAAAACAAATTTTTTTAATTTCAAATTTATGTTTTTATATTATTTTCAGAAATATTTATAATCTAAATCAATATTAATTAGTGAAACAGCTTCTAATTGAAATAAAATATTATTAAAATATGCTAAGAATTTACCTTATTTGACATTATATTAAACAGATACTTAGCTTTTTCTAATGACTGAAAATGAGTATGCATAAATGCTGCAAAGAAATTAAGCCCGAAATCAGCTAATGATCAATAGCATATACATACACTGACAGCATATTATTCTAACTTCTATTCACAAATCAAATACTAATGATCGGCATACTTGTTTAGAGATTTGAGTAAAAGCATGAGCTGCCTTTCAGTCTTAACTTCTTTTCAATTTGCTGTAAGCAAAACCAAATTTCAAAAAACCTTTCAATTTTAAGCAGATGCCAAACTTAGCTGTGATACTTTGACAATACTTACTTCTTTTACTTCCATGTAGAAGTAAAAGAACTGTATAGATATTTTACATATAGCCAAGGATTTCTACTGCACTAAAGCAGAAGCTACTAGTGAAGCTCTTCCTTCTATACTGCATAGTTTAATGGAAGTTTAGATAATGAAGGCACTCTTGATTATTTACAGATTGCTCTAGAATCATTCATTAAATGTGACATGCCATTTCACTTATCCAGACTCTCCACCATAAATCAGTTTTAAACTTCAATTAAATGGGAACAGTTTTCAGTTGCTTTTTTTATACATTTAAGTATCATAATGTTTCAATTCAGTTCGATTATTTCCATGACTAAGCTAATAGAATAATTAAGGATTATGTAAATATGTAGAGAATAAATTTCTTTTTCTATTTTAACCGTTCAATACTAATTTTCATATTTTTCTGAAACAGATATAAGCTTGGATAAAACTTAATAAATCAACGTCTGAACATGTTTCTAACAAACATTCTGCATCTTCCCCTTTTCATTATCTAACAAGATTTTTGCTTTTTAATGATGCAACAACACAAAACTGGCTTATGTGAAGAACAACTGTTTTAGTGTTGTTACAAAAAATATTAAGCAGGACTTATCAAATTGCTGCGTTTTTCCGGCATGTTTCCTGATAATATCCAGTGCCAGAAAAATATAATTATATCTTAAGATTTGTCATGATGCTCTTTTTTAATGATGGAGTAGATCCTCTGCATTTCATCTAGAACATTAGATGTTATTATTCGGCGCATTTGCTATCAAAATTCTACAACTAAAATACAAACTGCCTATTTCTTAACACAGCTTTCCAATGAGTCAACCATTATGCCTAGCAAACTTATAAAGCACGTTTTTTTTTAATTACAAAATTTTTATTACAGTCTTTCTTGTTAATCAGTTAATGATTGATCAAAATTCCAGATGAGTATGAATACAAATATTATAAACAAACTCGCCAATATTAAGGGGTAAACTCATTAATTACTTCTAGATTAAGAAAGATATTTGGATACAAAGAAAGAGTATTAAAAATAATAAATACAGTACAAAGTCCGAAATCCGGACTCGTCGGGACTTTGGCGATTCCGGATCTGGGATTTTTCTGGATATTATATCATCAATTTAAATCTGGTAAGATTTCATGCAGAAATTATACAATTAAAAATATTAAATCGTAATTTATGAAATAAAGAACAATTATGATCAAAATTTACAAAATACAAAGGATATCAAAATTTACAAAAAAAAAAAAAAAAAAAAAAAAAAAAAAAAGCTTAATATTTGTTTACTTTATTAAACATTTCTTTCAATGTAAGTTGTTTAAGTTGCTTCCACAAAAAATTCAAAAAGTTCCTTTTTATTTTTTCTTATGTCATATCCAGTTGACTTTCCAATGCCATAACTCCTACATAATTTTGAGACGGCTATGCCTTTATCCATTTTTTGCAGCAATTACACTTTTTGTTTAATAGACATTGAAACATGGTTTCACTTTGTAGATCCCTTGGCAGCTCCAGAATTGGAAACTCTTTTTAACATAATCGAAAGTTCAAGCTTAGTTTTTATAAAATTGCCATAATAATAACAATCTGCAAAAATAAAAAGCTGGATCAGATTAGAAGATTAGGGAGCAGCGCAGTCTGCTACATTAACTGAAATGCCTCAGTATTATTGGCAGTGTATCATAAGATTGGCAATGAAAGCCAAATTGTTTCACTAAATTTTGTCTTGCTCCTATTGCGTACTGAATTAAGCCTGAATTACTGTATTTGACGGCATATAAGATGCACTTTTTTTCCTAAATTTGCTCTCAAAAAAGTTACCTGCATCTTATACGTGAAGGACACAGGTTAACTTTCTAAACTGAATGCTATTTTTAGCCCGGATAAAGATCTAGACACACATAACTTTTTCTACATCTACATGTGTGTGGCCTTCTAAATAAGGGTGCGTCTTATATGCCTTCAAATACGGTAGTTATTTATTATACTGTAATATCGCGTGGCCCCAACTTGTCAGCAACCGTAGTAGTGACTGCTACTAAGTGTGAATTTACACAGACACGTAAGAAGGGTTTAAAGCCCTTTTTATTCAACTTTTAAAATAACAGCTGCGTCCACTTGACGCTCACAAACTATGCCAACCTGGTGGTTAAGTGAAACAGAATGTAGAAATGAAAAATAATGACTGGATGAATAAATAGCGAGATCACTATCCACGACGCTCTGAGATCTTAAACTAACCTAACCGCATTCTAACATTACCGCTGACATTCAGCAAGCTTACTGATTAAGCAATTGAAAGATCCAGCAAAAACTGCCGAGATAGGCACACAGGCCGACATGCGCGGTTCTTAAATTCTACCGAGCGACATTTACGTTCGCTATTCAAGAAGCACACCTACAATCTCCTTTCCTTTCTATTTAAACTCAACTTACTTCTGCTAAAATTTGAATATACTGCACGCTCTACTTCAATTTACATACTCTAGCATTGGCAATTCTAGGGAAAAGTAAAGGCTTGACAGGAAAGATGGTTTAAACTTAAAATAAATGTTAGTTAAAATAAATATAAACCCTACTCATCGTCTGGACCCGGTATCCAAATCCTTCTAATTGGTTCGCAATTCTTGTTGTTGGACTTGTACAGGAGCTTCCATCCAGTTTTCGGCCATTTCAGTTCATAAAGTGATCGGGCGCCAATGTGATGTTGCATGGCCCCAACTTGCCCGCAACAGTAGTAGTGACTGCTATGAACTGGAAATTACACAAACTCTTAAGAAGGGTTTAACTCGCTTTTTATTCCACTTTAGAATTAACAGATGCGTTCACTTGGCGCTCACAAATTACGCCGACCCGGCGGTTAAATAAAAATAGAAAAGTACAACTAAAAATAAATAACAGGATGACTAAATAACGAGGTCACTACCTACGAGGCTCTATAAACGTGACTAACTTAACCGCGTTCTAAGATACAGCTGAGATTTCAGCAAACTTTCTGAATAAGAAGTTGAAAGATTCAACTAACTGCCGAAGTAGGCACACAGGCCGAAACGCGCGTTATCTTAAAATTTCTACCTAGCAACCTTCAAGCTCGTGAAT